TGTCGACATTTTCAGTCATTAGAAAATACAATGGAAAAAATTTTGTTAGGATACTGCAATGGTTAATTATGGTACTGGTTTTTCAGGCTTTTTTATTTTTGTACTTATCACTTGGTTTTTTTTTTTTTAATCGTATTTCAGTATATTCAATAATGGAAGAAAAAAAAAAAATCTCGTCTTTTTATTCCTCCTATTGTTTGATAAAAGTTATGTAGTTGCTTTGATTAATGTATGAAACGTATTTGCAGAACTAAGAAACTGTGGAAACATTTGACTGAATAAACGTTTATTGTAAATGATCATCTGCTGGCTGATAATTAATACATTGATAATTTTAAAAGAGACATCTATGTAACAGTGTAAAATTGCTTAAGACTTAAAAAATTAGAACTTTTACATTAAAAGCTATTTCTACTAAAAATTACATAAAACATACAGTGTTTATCAATGAATAATTTATTACAATGTTTAAACTGAATACAACAACAGCATATTTCTGTATAAGAAACGTTGCAGGATAAAAATTATGAAATGATATCTGAAGTATTTTGTATTATCATGGCGTACAAGCGTCAACAAAATCTTCTCATTGTCGTTGTCATCAACAGTATAACAGTATAGTTATGCTATTTTTTCTTCCAAATATCCTGACGACACAACGGACATTGTTTTAGTTTTTCTGAACATCTTTGGCAACAAACACGATGGCGACACGGTTGATATAATACCGTAGGCTGAAATGTTGGATATTCTTAGTAGTCCGCACATTAATTTCATTTTTTATCTACTTAAGTACCATTACTTGTCTGCCACTATGATACAGCAACAAATTTTATAACTTTTCATAATTCTTATAAATACAACTTTAAAATTTTTCAGACAAAATTCAAAGGATATTGAGAATTGAGCCAAACCTATCAGTAAAACTGCGTCAAAAACTTCTGACCGATATCGCTAACTTGTCGTTGGTTGTAGTTTTATTGAAAATAACTTTTACCAGAACAAATAAGTTCTTTAATTAAATTATGCAAGCAGTTTATTCACTTTTTATCAGCTACCCTGTTATCTGTGCTTAATAACTGTCAATGTTCCATCATGAAAACGCTCTATAAAATGAGCAGCAAAATTTTCTTCTCATATTTTCGTCGTTTGATAGTCCAGAAACAAATGGCATACAGTAGTTATTTTGCGATAAAGTTTCTTCAGAAGGACTGTGCTACGCAGCTGGTAATTGTGCTGTATAACCCCATCCGAATATCCAAGGCTTTCTAATCAGTATAATTATACAGACCGTTGTTCTGCTATTACTTGCTGGTGTACACTCATTTAAGTCTATGTCAAATATACATATCCACTATTGTTCGCGAGGGTGATCATTTCTATTCCTTGTAGCCTAACAGGATCATACAATTGAGGTTCTCACTTGCTGTTCACTTTGCATACTAGCTTAATTCACTTCTTCTTGCTGAAGTCCTAACTTGACAGCTTAGATCTGTCTAGGTTTTATCTTATTTCCCAGCCCAAATTTTTCAGAGAGAACTAGAAAAATTGTCATTTTACTGTACACTTCGGAAGAGCATAACATTCACAAAATTAGCACATTTTCCTCTAAAAATTTACTTATTGCAAATCAACAGGAAACAAGAATCAGATTTAGT